AGGGGAGAAGGAAGTCCTGCCTCCCCTCTCCAGCAGCACTTGCAGTCTTGGAGTAAGGCTTTCTCCCCGCTCAAAGGAAGCCAGGGTGGGACAGTGGGTGGAGAGCTGCTTATCCTTCCACCATTGGATTAAGACTTCTTGCTTAGTTTCTAGAAGAGTTTGGGAAGCAGGTGATGGTTGGCTCTGTGCACACCACCGAGTGCACTCAGGTTTCATGTCTCCCGCATTCCAGTTTTTCTCCTGAGCACTCAGTGGAGCCTGGTAGAAGAAAACTAGCGAATGGCTACAGACAACCCTGTGCTTGGAGCTCCCAGGAATGCCCAGTTGTCATGCTCTACTGTCACCAACTTGTTCACATTTAAGGGTCTTCATCCTGCTCTAATGTGCTGCCTCCAGTCCCTGGTCCTGCCACACACAAAGCAGCTCTATGTCTAGCTCTCCGTGAAGTCGCTTGCTATCCTTCAGAATTCAAATTATCTGCTTGCCTTGTGATCGCAAGCAGATCACAGACTCGAGAAGTTGTGATTGTGTAGTAATTGTATTGTGATTGACCTGCTGTTAGGGTGCTTCAGAGACACTTTTTTTTTTTTTTTTTGCAATACTGGGGTTTGAAGTCAGGGCCCACACCTTGAGTCACTCCGCCAGCCCTTTTTTATGAAGGGTTTTTTTGAGATAGGGTCTTAGGAACTATTTGCCCAGGGTGGCTTCGAACCGTGATCCTCCTGATCTCTGCTTCCTGAGTAGCTAGGATTACAGGTGTGAACCACTGGCGATTGGCTGAGGGACACTCTTATAGTTTGAAATAAGATTTATTGAATTTCTAACACCCACAACTTGTGAACGGGACATTGTTGGAAATAACGTCTTTGTTGTTGTAACCATGTTAAGATGATCAGGGTGCTCCTTGGTGTCTTTATGAGAAGGCCACATGAAGACACAGAGATACAGACATACATAGAGGGAAGATGGCCCCATGAAGGCAGAGGCAGAAATCAGAGTGATATAGCCGAAGATCCCATGGGTTGCCACCAGCCGCCAGAAGCCAGGAAGGGTTTGTCCCTAGAGAATGCCATCAGGGAGCATGACCTGCTGGCACCTTAATCTCAGACTTCCAGCCTCTAGAACTGTGAAGAACAAATTTCTGTTGTTTTAAGCCATTCAGTTCATGGTGGTTTGTTACAGCAATCCCAGAAAATGAACACAGGTGCAGTACACATAAAAAGTCATGCTTTGTGTAGACAGATGGCTCAATGTTGCACACAAACCTCTCCCAAGTGAGATGGCCCCAGTGCTGAAAGCTTCACAGACAAGTGATTTCCCCTCCAGGATATCTAAGTCTCCCATATCATCAGCTTATCCTTTTTGTAGAGAGGAAGACTTAGGACAGACTGTGGTGTGAGGTGGAAAGAGCAGAGAGAAAGGCACACTTGTCTGAAAGTGCTGGATGAAGGGGGACTGTCCTAAGAGTTAGGCCATCACTGCCAGAGAAGTGGGGAGTAGACGGGTCCCCAGAGAAGCAGCACAAACATTCTGCCAGGAAAGATGACAGGCCTGGATAGAAATCAATACATCCTCCAACACTTCATTTCCTTCCTTCTTTGGGACAATGACTCTGGTGACAAAACTGAATAGGACTGTCTCCTAGTCTGGGCTTTCCTATCCCTCCTGAGTGTGCTGTGTGGGGGAAACAGAGCCAGGGCTTTGACACACATTTCATACCCGAGTGAGAAAAACCCAGGGAAGCACAGTACTAACAAACCCTTATGTCTGGGTGGAATTTAGAACTTAAAAAGCACTTTTTTAAAATACAATTCCTCTCGATTGGACTTCCTGGTGAAAGAATCCAGAAGTGCCTATCCTTGAAGCACAGGATCCCTAGTTCAGAGAATACAAGAAGTCCTAAGCAAACCATGCCAAAACCCCCAGACTGGATCAGAGATATGGGCAGAAAACCATAAAACACATCCCGCTATGTACCCCTATTCAACAGCAAAGGGCAGACTGTGTTGAACACCATCTGGGTGAGAGTCCAAGATGGAAACAGAGGATGTCTGTCATTGGTCAATAGGAGACCAGGTAAAGTGGACCAACTCCACCTCTAAGGACAGCCAAAGAGTGGTACAAACATCCAACAAGCATCAAAGAGCTAACAAGATATTATGGAGGTACTCAGTTGACATCCAGAGTAGACAGAGGAGCCCAACAATCAGGGCCATTTGTCCTCTGGAGGCATTGCCCATTCAGATAAGGTGACTGAGAACCAGAAGTGTTTCTGAAAGTCTTGCATGGGGAGGTATGCGGAGTAGACTTGGAATTTAGTACCCTACTAAAAGTGGGCTGTGACCCCATAGGACGGTGTCCTAAGGTTAAAGATGAGCCAGAAGAAGCCAGGTACCAGTGGCTCATGCCTGTAATCCTAGTTTCTTGGGAGGCTGAGATTGGGAATATCATAATTATAGACCAGCCCAGGCAAATAGTTCCAGAGACTTCATCTTAACCAATAGCTGGGCACAGTGCCTCGCACCTGTCATCCCAAGTTACATGGGAGGTTGCAGTTCCAGGCCAGCTTGAACAAAAAAGTTTGCAAGGCTCCATCTCAATGGAAAAAAGGATGAGCATGGTGGTGAATGTCTATCATCCAGCAAGGGTGGGGAGCTTAAAATAGGAGGACCATGGTCCAGGTTGGCCTGGACAAAAAGTGAGACCCTATCTCTAAAATAACAATAGCAAAAACAGCTGGAAGCATTCCTCAAGTGGTAGAGTGCCTGCCTAGCAAGCATGAAGCCCTGAGTTCAAACCCAGTACCACCAAAAAAAAAAAGATGAGTCAGAAGAAACCAGCCCTTGCATAGGCTGACAGGTCTGAGATTGGTTTCACTGGCCTAAACCTCCAACCTTGGATCTGGATTCATGTGGCTGAGAATCCTAGTGCCCTCGGCACCTGACAAAAGCAATCAAAAACCTTCCCTAGAGGTAGAAATCATCCCAGCTCTAAAAATATTCTAATATTTTTTTCAAATACAATATCTAGCATGAAATTTTTAAAAAAGCACATGAGAACATAAATCAGAGAGAACCAGCAGAAATCAGGCAACAGAACTGCACTTCAGGGGTTTTAGTAGCTGGAATTAGCATAGGCAGAAAGTTCCAGAAAACTTCCACACTTGTCAGTAAGCCTGATCTATTTGAATACATCTCTATTCGGTGCCTGGATTGCCACAACACCCACCTTCAGTTGGCCTTCACCGCTGTCTCCAGTTAGCATTTAGGAAACATCTGATTGCCTTAGCACTGTGCTCACCAGAATTCCAGGCCCTTTGCCTTTGGACACAAATGGCCCTCTCAGTCCCATCTCCTTGGATCTCTGCCTCTCACATACATCTCTGGTCACACAGCACTGCTTTCCTGAGTACCCCACGGCTGCCTTGAAGGCCCTCTTCTTCCGTTTTATCATGAAAAATACATCCTTCAAAATCCACTTTTAATCTCTTCTTCACTTTGTACACACCTCTATTGCAGTACTGACACACTGTATTGAGGTTGGGGTCTATCTTATTCGTGTAGTATTCCTTACATGGGGCACAGTACCTGGGTCAGAATAAGTACTTAATAAATATTTAGGAAAGAATGAAGGGCTGGGAATGTGGCTTAAGTGGTAGCATGCTTGCTTGGTAAGCAAGGCCCTGAGTTCAAACCCCAGTACCACCAAAAAATACAAATAAGTAAATAATAAATACTTGTGAAAGAATGAAAGAGTATTCACTTTTGTTTTTTTGAGACAGGGTTTCACTATATAGCCCAGGCTTGTCTGAAATTTGTGATCCTCCTGCTTCCACCTCCTAAGTGCTGGAATTACAGGTATGCACCATCATGTCTGGGTGAAAGAGTATTTTCTTTTTCCCCCTTCTCCATAGTACTGGGGATTGAAACCAAGGTCTCACACATGCTAGGCAAACACTCTACTATTCCTGAAAGAGTATTCTTTTTTTTTTTTGGCCTTACACTTGCAAGGCAGGTGCTCTTACTGCTTGAGCCATTCCACCAGCCTCTGAAAATATTTTATTTTTAGTACTGGGGCTTGAACTCAGGGCCTACACCTTGAGCCACTCCACTAGCCCTTTTTGTGTTAGGTATTTTCAAGATAGGGTCTCATGAACTATTTGCCTGGGCTGGCTTTGAACCTTGATCTTTCTGATCTCTGCCTCCTGAGTAGCTAGGATTACAGGTGTGAGCCACCAGCACTCAGCTCTGAAAGCATTCTTAATAGTAGATGAGACAGAATGCTCTGGACTGAATTGTGTCCCACCCCTTCAACCAAAAAAAGATTCATACTTTGAAGTCTCAACCTTCAATATGACTGTAGTTGGAGACAAAGTCTTTATGGAGACAGTTAACGTTAAATGCGGTGATCAGAGAGAGCCCTAATCCAATAGGATCAATGTCCATATAAGAATAGGAAGAAGCAGGGCATGGTGGTATACATCTGTAATCCCAGCTACTCTGGAAGCTGAGGCAGGAGGATCACGAATTTGAGACTAGCCTGGGCAAAGTTAGAAACACCTTATCTCAAAAAAACAAAATACAAAACAAAAGCACTGCAGCATGGCTCAAGCATAAGAGTGTTTGCCTATCATGTGTAAGTCCCTGAGTCTAAAAGAAAAAAAAGTGATCTCCCTCTTTTTGTACATGCACACATACATGGTCTGTGTCACTGAGGACATGCAAGAAGGTGACTGTGTGCAGGCCAGGGAAAGACCTCATCAGAAACCAACCCTGTTTGAACTGTGACCTTGGACTTCCAGCTTCCCAAACTGTGACAGAATAAATTCCTGTTGTTAAGGCACACCGTCCTGTTTTGTTATGGCAGCTGATGCTGACACACAGACCAATTCTGAGATTTCCAACGGGTTTATATATACTTCTTCAATGAAGGTAAGACTTCAATTAAAACTGAGCACAACAGGTAGGGAGTGGACACCATGACATGAAGAAAATGGATAGCTTTTTAAAAAGTTTTATTTCAAGAACTTTGTATTTTTACTGGTATTCCAAAAAAAGGTGGGTCAAAGTACAAAAAAAAAAAAGGTCAGTTGAATAACAGCGTAGGTTTAGAAATCACAGCAGCAGAAGCAATGTACAGACAGCACAGACAAAACAATCCAATGTATGCAATTCTGTTCAGTTTCTTATTTTAAGTGTCTCCCCCTCCTGTACAAAATACATCAAAGCATGCCATGAGATCAGAAAAGGAAAAAGAGTTTAACAAATGGTTACAAGAAATAGACTCTGTACCAGAGGAGATCACCTTCTTTCCCTACCCCCGCCCCCCATTTCCTCTCTTCTTGCTCTGTTTATGTTAAGTTATTCTGGACACAGTTCACCTCCAAGTCAGCCTGGTCACCTTTGCCACCCTCAAGTTTGGGTGACATGGAGTTCTGGATGTTAAAGGACTCCTCCTCTTTCAGGCAGGACTTCAGGACTTCTTGGATTTTGTGGGGAGCACTAGGATCATCCTGGAAGAGGAAAAAGTTGAGGGGGATGGGGAAGAAGACAATGGGTAGAGTAATCAATCATCTCGAGTTTTCCTACCCGGATGAAAGGAGCACAGCTTAACAAAGGAGAAAAACCTCTAGGACTTAAATGAGCCCAAAGGAACTGAAGTAACAACTTAGCAGCAATCTTTTAGGAACTAATTCTTACAAAAGCAACAGCCAGAGACTCACAGGTAATCAGATCATATATGCCTATAAAACTGGGGCCAGCCACGTTTTCTCTGGACAGAGACTGAGGAGAAAACTGGCTCTTACAATATTTGGCTCAGGTGCCTCAAAAGCCTCATGTTGATGACTCTGCTGTCACAGGAACGTCTTGGTGAGGGAACACAGCTTGTCAGCATAAGCCATGGGTCACCCACAGGACTATGGTCAGATGCACACCTACCCCTCAGCAAGTATATGTCCTCTGACCGAAGGCTAAAGATATGTGAGGCTTCCCCGCTGTCACAACTGTACGTGCTGAAGATGATAACTGAAAAACTACTGCCCCTGTCAAGGTCCCAATGACTTCAGCCATCTTGGTGGCCTGCCAGTCTGTCTCAGACCAGATTCAAGCAGCAAATTCACGACATACTTTTTTTTTTAAACAGAACTGGGGTTTGAACTCAGGGCTTCCACTTGAGCCAAACACGCAGCCCTTCTTTCTTCATTTTTTCAGATAGGGTCTCATGCTTTTGTGCTGGGCTGGTTTCAGACTGCAATCCTACCTGTGCCTCCTAAGTAGCTGGGATTATAGACATGCCTCACCAAGTCCAGCTTGTTTTTTGAGATAAGGTTTCACTAACTTTTACCTGGACTGACCTTGAACTATGATCATCCAGAGTAACTAGAATCACAGCTGTGCACCACCACACCCAGCCATACCCACTTCTGAGGTACACTTGTGCCCTCCTACAGCCCCAAGACAAACTCCTGAACCTGAGCTGAATTTATACCTTAAAGGTTTTCAGGAAGCCCTCACTAGCACAGTCCTGCGATTTGACATTCTGGGCACTCAGAGGGCTTTTATGGCAAGTCCTACCTGTTAGGACATGAGAAGGGGTCATACCCAGTGTGATTGTGTAGGCCTCAGTTCTTTCGTTGTTGCTCCAAATAGCTGTTGTAAGTACTCAGAACTCAGCTGATCAAAGAGGCAAAGTCATGGGTGGCAAAAAAGTTGGAGAATGTCTCAATCTGACCAGCTATCTCAGACCATTCTTATTCTTCTTATTTTTTTTTTTGTGTTTGGGACTGAGGTTTGAATTCAGAGCTTTGTTCTTGCAAAGCAGGTGCTCCACCTCCAGTCCATTTTACTCTGCTTATTTTGAAGATGGGAGTCTCATGAACTATTTGCCCAGGTTGGCTTTGAACTTCGATCCTCCCTATCTCAACTTCCAAGTAGCTAAGATTACAGGCATGAGCCATGGGCTCCTAGACAGGGTCTTGTTATGTAGCATAGGCTGGCCTCAAACTCATGATCCTCCTGCTTCCACTTCCTGAGTACTGGGATTATAGGTGTGAGCCACCAAGCCTGTATTTTTCTTGCTTTCACCACTTCCAAAATTCAAGATAATAATCGAGTTAAGGATCAGGGCATCCTCCTTAATTAAAACCCTGGGGAGCTCTTGGTCTATTCTGTCTGCTGCTGCATTGACCCCTAACACTAGTAGGTTATAGTAGTGATGGGTTAGAAAGTAAGTAGGATGCTGGGGTGCCAGCGGCCCATGCCTGCAGTCCCAGCTACTCAGAAGGCAGAGATCAGGAGACTCACAGTTCGAACCTATCTTGAAAATTTCCATCACAAAAAAGGGCTGGTGGTGTGGCTCAAGGTGTAGGCCCTGAGTTCAAGCCCCAGTACCACAAAAAAAACCCTCCAAAACCCCCAAAAGAACAAAACAAAACAAAAACAAACAAAAAAACCAAGTAAGTAGGGAAAGTCCCCAGGCTTGCCTTGGACCCTGTACACACAGTATAGTAGTTCAAAAGTTCCATGTGCACAGGAAGCACTGTCACTTGCATTTTGTCCCCAGCTTCACTCAAAGGCCCAGCCTGAGCAGAGATTTGATAGAGTTTTGTAGATTTCAGATATGATTTATAGACAAGGAGGGGATACAAGTTTCCCATTTCCAAAAGAAGAACTTCCTAGGATTCGGAGGCAGATTTCAGGTATGGCAGCTGTGCAAAGCATTCGTGGGTATCTGACATCGACAGTCACTACCCAGAGTGAGTCAGAAGAAACCATGCAGGGACAGAAACTATACGTGCTGAGATGGAAAGACTTCTATGCTACAGTAAGTTATAAAAATTGCCAGGTGTGGTGATGCATACCTCTAATCCCAGCTACTTGAGAGGCAAAGGCAGGAGGATATTGAGATGAGGCTAGCCCAGACAAAGTTAGTTAGCTGCTATGTCAAAAGTGAACTGAAAACAAAAGGGCTGGGGTGTGGCTCAAATGATAAGAACACAAGCATGAGGCCCTGGGTTCAATCTCCAGTACTGGAAAAAAAATTAAGGGGTAGGACATATGTATAGCAAAATCCTATTTATGTTTCAGGTACAGCGTGTGTGTGTGTGTGTCTGTATATGTGTGACTGTATTTCATTTTTTGTGGGTTTTCTGTTTTGGGTACTAGGGATTGAACCCATGGTCTTGTGCATGTTAAACACATGCTGTACCATGAAGCTGCATCTCCATCGTATGTGTATGTTTTATGGAGAGGGAATTAGGATAGGGTAGATGGGTACTTTTTATTGCCTGTGTTTCTGGACATGGAAGCTTCAGTTGAATCATTAATGATCATAGGTAGGAAGGACTTTGAATCACACCAAAGCATGGAAAAGGATGAGGGGGCCTATACTCACCTTCCCCTTCAAGGATAAACTTGCTTTCATGTGTTTCAAGGTACCTCCCCACTAACCCCACATCACATGCTCTTTGTGCCTCATACAGAGGCACAGGAATATCCTTACCATTTGAGAGAAAGTGCATTGAGTGACTCCTTATAGGGTTGTGATGTCACAAAGGGGAAGCCCATATTAAACCTGGCCCTTAAGGCTCATGGGATTTGGACAGATGAAAAAACTTCCCTATGGGCCAAGAGGAGAAACAGATCCTAAAAGTGAGAAACAGTTATCCAAACAAGGCTCTTGGACAAGCTAAAGGCCTCCCACTTGGCTACGTGTCTAAAGCCAAGACAGAGCTCCCTGAGCTCAGTGTTTCTAATGGAATTGAGCCTATTAAACCCAAGGTCACTGCATCCCACAGCAGAAGGCCCATCTGCCTTTGGATTGGCAGATGTACCTGGTCAGGAGGGAGAGGGACCGACATCTGCGTAAGTCCTGGGAACCACTGTGGACCCTGCTGTTCCCAGAGCTCAGCCAAGCAATATGGACACCTTTGATCCAGGGGTAATGTGGATTCAGAACTGGACCGCCCCCTTGTGTTCAGATGCAAAAGTCTATGGAAAGGAGGCAGCCAGTAGGTGTGTGACCTCACACATGCAAGGCAAAGTCTGGAAAGTAAGAAAGATTTAAATGGGAAAAAAGCACAAAGGGGCCCCATGAAGTCCTAGAAATAAATTGAACTCCTGGAAAGACTGTCAGAGCATGGGAGGACCAAGTCATCTCCCACATTCCCTTGACAGCACTGCCATGAGAAACAACAGTGCAGCTCAGGGCTGGGCAGTCTGCCTGTGGGTTTCAGGTGACTTCATTCGCTTGGTGCACCTGGAGCAGGTCCAGCTTCCTGTACACTCTCCAGCCTCCTTATGTTCCCTTCCAGGATGGGCTGTTCAGCACACAGAAGACTTACACACAGATTCAGCCTGTGGCCCATCAGCTAAGTGCCTCACTCAGGGCAGAGGAACACTGGAGGGGCACTGACACAGAAACCAGCCAGACCCAAAAGCAGCAGATTTTTTTTTTTTTTTTCAGTCTGAAATCTTTTCATACTGTGGCTGGTAAAGCTTATTGCAATGAGGTAGGAAAATGATCCACTTAATTTACTTGACTTATATAAAAGAAATAACCCCTCTAAAATTTTTAAGGAATATTGATACCAACACTGAACTTAAAGGTAAAGGAGAGAGGAAGGGAGAGGGTAACCAGCAGTTCCTTGTTTCCCTTCTGGCATACAGCAGTGGTCAGAATGGCGGCTGTAGCAATAGGGCTTTGCTTCACAATGAAGTAGCAAGTGTCCTTTTTTTATTTCCACTGGTGGGGATTGAATCTAGGGCCTTGCACTTGATAAACAAGTACTCTACCACTGAGCTATAGCCCCAGTCCAAATGGCAACTGTTTTATCCAGCCCTGTTCATAAGACCTTGACTCTGACTTGTTGGCTGGGTGGAGAGAATTAGATGAAGGCAGAAATTCACCAATGCATTTTTGTGGGGCAGGACAGTCAGCCCTCACTTTACAGAGAGGAGAGGATGATGCCCTTGGGCACAAGCTGAGGGAAGGATGCCAGCTGGGAATGACACTCAAGATCCAAAAGAAGCTAGGAGACTACCACCCCTTGGTCCTGCCCCTTCCCTGAGGAATGCCAACCCCACAGGCCTACTCAGGAAGATTCCACTGTGGCTGACCATGCTCTACTACGTTTCCAAGTCCTGCCACACTCTGGACTCGGTTGGCAGTAGCGTTCATGTGCAGATGCCCCACTCTCCATAAGGCCAGCTCAGCCAAGAGCAGGAGGCTGCTGCACCAGCTCACCCAAACAAGCAACTCCAAGATGAGCTACTTTCTTACCCTCCCTTTGTGAAGGGGCAAGGCATCTATTGCTACAGTGCCAGAAGTGAATGAGTCAGGAACTTTCTTAGGGACCCTTGCACTCTGTCAGGCAGGAACAACTACCATGGACTATAGGAAATCCGTACTGGTCAGACCTGCTGTCCTACATGTACAAGATGGCAGGTCCAAAAGAGGAACCTGTGTAGGCCATGGTTTTCAAGTTATCGATAGATGCAGACTGCACAGTGTGCAACAGGCTGGATGATGGGAAGTAGTATATTGAGATGAGCAAGAAAGAGTCTGTCCTGTCCTCAGGGTGCCCACACTTTTGCACTTTGAGGTTTGATTAATGTGGTTATCCATCTTAAAGCTTATCAGACATCTTCTTTCTTTTTTTTTTTTTTAATTTTTTGGTGATACTGAGATTTGATCTCAGGGCCTCGTACTTGCTAGGCAGGCCCTCTATCATTTGAATCATGCCCCACCCTTTTTTCTTTAGTTATTTTTGTTTTAATGTCCAGGCCAGCCTGGATCTCCATTCTCTTATTTATGCTTCCCAAGTAGCTAGGATGACAGGTGCATGCCACCACACTCAGCTTTTTTAGAGAGATGGGGGTCTTTTGAGCTTTTTGCCTGGACTGGTCTTGAACCTTGATCCTTCCAATCCCCGCCTCCCAAGTCGCTAGGATTACAGGCTTGAGCCACCATGCCTAGCTCAGACAGACATCTTATTTCTTTAGTTATTATGTAAATCTTGAATTTATTAAAATCTTGTGTATACCAAGTAAAATAACCTGTTTTATATCTTTTATATTAAAGACTTAAAAATTGTCCTAAGTGTACCTCTTTCATTCCATAGTTATTTATTTATTTATACCTATTTATTTGTTTTTGCGGTGCTTGGGTTTGAACTCAAGGTTTTGCGCTTGCTAGGCAAGTACTACACCACTTGAGCCACAGTTGCAGCCCTATTTTTTTATTTATTTTATTTTATTTTTTTATTTTTTGGCAGTACTGGAGTTGAACTCAGGGCCAGCTTGCTGGACAGGTGCTCTACACTTGAGCCACTCCATCAGCCCTTATTCCATATTTAATTTGGCCCTTTTCCTTCTTCCTCCTCCACCAGGACAGGTTTTACTTTTCTAGGGCTTGGTGAATAAAGTCATATTTACTATTATTATCTCTTTCCCCTCTGGGGCTATAGTTTCCCCACTGATAACATATCTAGATCTGTGAAGTCACAGGGAGTCCCACTGGACAGCACTGGTTTAGATTGTTAAGGCCTCAATAAGTTCTGACTCTCAGTCAGAACTGAGAAGTTAGTTCTAACTTCAAATTCTACTTAAACTCCATTGTTCCAGTCAGAAGAGCCTCAGACTAGTTCCCTTATTGGTATAATGATACATTTACCTTGAGGTATAGAGTCTGCATTATGTGTATAATTCTTGGATTTTTGGAGGTGACATAATTTGGGGCTTCTACTTTATTTTCAAAATTCTCTGACAGTACTCAGTATTTTACTGATAAGGCTAGTTCAGTCACTCGTCCAGTATCTTCAGAACATGGTCAGGTGGGACCTTTTACTGGGTTTCAATTGATATTTTATGAGCCCATCCTCCTAAGGACAGAATTACTCCTAGCTTTATGGTCCACCAGCCCTAACAAGTTGTGTATAAGTCTGCCAGTTGTTAGGGTCCTTAAACAGCATCAGGACTGAGGGTTTTTTTCACCTATCCCAATGAAGCAATTGTCATTGGCTTCCATGACCATCAGGAATTCCCCCAGCAAAGAAAAGAGAGAGCCTTTCTAGTTGATATGGAAAGTAAAAGACAATAATCAGATTTCTGTCACATAGATGAAGCTAAAACTCACCACTCAACCTAGAACGAGTTCTCTCCTACCTGTACCTCTGCTTGTCAAAGAGGTGATGCCTCATCAAGTGCTATTCCTACCTTCACTGCCCCACCTGATTGTCCTAAACTGACCTCCTAAGCTGTCTAGAGACATCACAATGTGAAATAACCCAAAGGCCTGGTCCTGGGGCAGAGGCATGCATAAGGGGAGATGTGAAGAAGACAAGTTACCTGACAGACAACGTTATCATAGTGAGCCAAGGCACGGGCATGGGGGGAGGAGATACGGGGAGTGTCGCAAAGTTTCCTTACGTTTGGGTGAGAGCCCTCCGCAATGGTGGAGAGGGAGAAGTTATCGTTGTGGAGCTCAGATGGGGTCCGGAATTTGCTGGTAGGACAGAATAGAGAAGGGAAAATGTAAGTGAAATGATTATGGGCAAATGTAACACCTCAGCTGCATGGGTCAAATACTGCATTTCATCAAATGGTATGGCTTGGAATAAGGTGTACCACAATTTGACGGACCATTAAGAAAAAAAATTCTGTCACTCAAACCATGATCCAATACTTTCTTATCACCTTGGGTTTTATTATACACTTGAAGTAGCTCATTTGGACTTTAGATAAAGCGCTGACAATGATATGAACAGCTATGACCGTGTTTGTGCATGCCAGGCAATTACAACTGCATCAAGACTGCCATCTGGCCAACAGTGATTATAAGATGCCAGCGATTGTGAGACACAATCCAATTTCAGAAATGTTAATATGTGAGGAAAAATATGGATCTTAGAATCAATAAATTGCAGCAGTATCTGTGGTGCACTGAACATATGTAGCATCCTCAGAGCAGTAACCAGGCTCAGGAAAGGAGCCTGCAGAAAAATGAGGGAGCCACCTCTGCAGAAAAAGGGGAGGACCTAGATCGAGGACCTGCCTCTGGCCACAGTTCTTGCTTCTCCACTCCCCTGGCAGTTTTTCCCTCACTCTGATCCCTCCACCCCAGCAGCTGCCCTGACTTAGGTGGTCCCATCTCCCTGCCTTTTGTACTACCACCCCCTTGATGCAGGCATGAGATGAGGAACCAAGGGTCCTGGCCTGTGTCTCTCTATCGTGGTCATGTGCACAGATACACCCCTGCTTGAATGCACAGGCACAATGGAGAGGCCCTTCCAGCCCCATGGCCGTTAGCTAAAAGGCTGCAGAGCGGCTGGTGTCTGCACATTGCATGAGTGTCTACCCAGAGCAGGAGCAACAGATGGTGTTTTGTCTTTTTCCCAGGACCCAGGGAAAGTCCTTTAGTCACATTCTCTGGAGGGAGCCTCAGGCCAGAGGGATTAATGGGCAAGAGGCTCAAAGAGAAGTGGGGCCACTTCTGCATAAATTGTCTCTTGGGTCCCAAGGAAGCAGAGGTCCAGTCTCCTCCTTTTGTGACTCTGGTGACACTTTAAAAAGTGGTAGCTTAGTGGTGAGAATGATCCTCTCACAATGCATAAGGTCACATTGAGTGTTCAAGGCACTGACTTAATCGTCAACATGTGTTGATTTTCACATGTACTTAGGGCACTGGTCTGCTAAAGAAGAGCTGAAATGAGATTCTGTATCCCCATGTGGCCCTTAAAATCCACAGCAGAGGAAGTTCACCTTGCCCCCCCAACCAATTCTACTCAGGAGAGGTAAACAGAATCTCATTAAGTTTCTTGCACTTCTGTTTGGATCAGAGGTTGACCAGCTTTTTTTTTTTCGTACTGAGATTGAACTCAGGGCCTTATGCTTGCTAGACAGCACTCTATCTCTCAAGCCACTCCATTGGCCCTGATCAGCTTTTTTTTTTTTTTTTTTTTTTTGGTGGTACTGGGGTTTGAACTTAGGACCTCACTCTTGCTAACCAGGCACTGTACCAGCCCTCCTGACCAGCTTTTAAAAGCTCTTTCTTCTCTTTCCTCAGCCTCTCCTGAGGAGGAACTGGTACTGGATGACAGCAGATTTGAGGAGGATGGAGTTACTCCATGCTGATTTTGAGTGAAATTCTCACCACTGGCCATCAAAGACCACGGAACGGGTGCAGTCAGGAAGGGCAGGCAGACCGAGTGCAGGAACTGCTTGGGGATAAGGGCTGGGACATGCTATGTGTACTTTATCTGGGTTGGGATGCTGGGAATGTGGCTGGCTAGCTGCAGTGGGCCACTGGGGCTTCAACTCTCTGCAATTCCAGCACACGCTATATGAATAGATAAGCTTGGGTGAGTCTTCAACATGAACAAAAAGAGAGGGATGGAGAGGAGGTTCTAGAAATCCTCATAACAATATCCCTGGATCAGGGGCCTCCCACAGTGAGGCCGGGTGACAAAGACTCACTTGGTCCTCCGCAGCTTGGTGTTCTCTGTCTTGAGCAGGTAGAGCTTCTTGGCAAAGCACACTGTCATCATGAAGAGCAGGAGCAGCACAAGAGCGGCTGAGCCGATGGCCACGCACATCACCTGGAAGTCTGTGATGATGGACTCACAGCGCATCCCCTTGTGCCAGATGTAGTCCTGTGTGTTGCACCTGCATCAGCAACAGCGTGAGACCGAGGAGACAGAGAGGGCAGCCTCAGCCACAGAGAGGGCCTGGGCCCTGAGCCCAGCACTCATCCCAACAGCCTGCTCCTGTAACTGCCTAGGAGATCCACAATGCCTCCAACTGGACAGCCCTCACAGTCAGTATTCCTATCTTTACAGTCATTCTATGAGGCAAGCCAGGCAGATCTGAGGTCCATGATATACAAGAGGTAACCAAGGCACAGAAAAAGAGTGAACAGCTCTAAGTTACATGACTGTTAAGTGACTGAAGAGGGTTGGGAATCCTAGTCTTCTGTCTTGCAGACTCAAGAAGGACAATCACAGGCCTCTGCCTGCCCTGGCTCTCTCTGGGTGAAAGACAGATGAGGAGAAGACCCAAGAATAAAGCTATGGTGATAAAGCACAAGATCTTCCCTGCACATGAAAGCCTATCTTGCCTGTCTTGCTGCTTCGTATCCCATCTAGTTCATGTGGATAATCAGACACTGAAAAATAAAGATCTTTCAGACAAGGACAAACACAAAGATGGATGTACATTCTCTTCTTATCCTTACAGCCCCCAAAGTTCAGCTCCTAAAGCTTCCTATTACTATGAGAACTGTCATGAAAGCATAGTGAGAATCAACCCTCTGGGTGGGTTTTAGTCCTTTTATTGAGTGACTTTCTCCTGCCCTTGGGGACATTCCCAGGCTCCAACTCTTCCAATGACATTGCTGTTTCCATGGGAACCAGACTGCTTCAAAGAGGAAAGATGTGGAAGGATACAGAGGCAGGCAAAGGAGGGAGGACATGAACCTCAGGGTGAATGACAGACTAGAGAGAGGGGCCCAGAGATGAGGAAATTATGTGCAGAGAATTGGCTGCTCTGCATCCAGAATAGGGTGGGGAGACATGGTTGAGAAGGAATTCTTCTTTGGCTTTCAACTGAACCCCTGCAGTTATGGGGCGGGGCACTATCTGTTTGAGGTTGCCAAGGAATGCAGACCCCTCTAAGTGGGACCCTGTAACCCGGTGTTCTAGAGAAGTTCTGTCACAGCTCTGATCATTTCCCTGCAGTTGTTCAGGGTGACAGAGACAAAGGCACACTGCAGTCTGCAACTAAAGGCTCAGCAGTCTCCTGTGAGTGGAATGCAAAACAGTTTTCAAGCCACGGTCAGATCTGGGTATACACAGCCAGAACAGGAGCCTGGTAGGGAGGTCTGAGTGTGATCCAGGGATGGAGGCTAAGCAAGGGGACTGGAGTGGGCATGTGAAGCCACCCGTTCTGAGGCAGGAACTATAGTGAGCTCATGCACATGCAGCTTAGTGAGGAGGACGGTCTTACTCCTCTAACTTGGGAATTCCCTAAGAGGTCCAGGAGGTTCTGGGTGCTTCTACAGCAAGACAGAGCCAGCAAGGGCTGTAAAGTTTCACACTCTGATGGAAGCTCACTTTGAAGGTGAAAATGCCAGGCCTCCAACAGGATGAAAGATGGTATTTCACATAGATTCCACAGCTCCAGGCTGAACTCATTTCCCCCAAACTAAAGTTTGAAGAGCAAAACCACAGAATTTCCCTATATTTCTAAAGCCCTTACCTGACTGATAAGATCTGATCACCATAATTTCTTTAAAGTACCTACTCTTGGTACTTTACTACAACCAGAACTGTGAGGTCACATCCTATATGAATGACCCTAGTGTCATGACCATTTATAGAAAAGAACTTCATAGAACAGAACTGGAACTCAAGCTTCAATGCCAAGGGCACAACTACTTTCTTTTTCTTTTTCACTCTCTCTCTTTCTTTCTTTTGGCAGTACTGGGTTCAAAGTCAGGGTCTTGTACTTACTAAGCAGACACTGTGCAACTTGAGCAATACCTCCAGCATATTTTTTTGGCAGTACTAGGGTTTGAACTAGGGGTCTCATGCTTGCTAAGCAAGCACTCTACCGATGAAGCAATGCTCCCAGCTCCATTCACTACTTTCTATATGTTATTCTATCAGAACATCAAACCCTAAGAAACTTGTCTTCACAAAGTCCAAAAAGAACAAGAAGCATTGAGAATGACACTCTTAAAGGAGACCCCAGGTAACAGAAGTGCTTCTCCCGGGATCAGTGCACACAAGACTCAGAGGGGTCTGAGTGCTGTGCTTCAGTGCCTATAAAGAACCACATGTATCATCTGTGACTTGTGACTCTTCTAGAATAAGGCAGTGAGCTCTCAAGTAGGTAAGTACCTCTCTGTAATGCTAGTAATCACTGATGTGGTGTGGGATGGTGGCTGTAGGCTATGTCCTCAGAGATACCTAAATTCTCTGAATCTTTGAGAGCATAATGGATTTGGTATCCAAAGAAGACAAGTATCAGTTGAGGGAGAGAGAGAAAAAAAAAAAAAAAAAGCCACCATCAAGTCAAGAAAGATTCCCCACTGCAAGGCTTTGGGCTGGCTCCCAGTGTTGTCTTTTTGACTTTACAGGCCTACATCTGCTTCATGGAAATTGGGCCCTTATACATGTTTGGAGGGAACACTCAGCAGCTCTTCTCCTCCAGAGCAGGTTTCCAGGCCAGTCCTCTTTACTAGTACAGCCAGCGCTCTCCAGCAAAAACCGCTCACAGTCCCAAAAAAGCCCTCTTTCCAAAACCCTCAGAGAAGTCCCTTCACTTTGCCTTTAAAATTGAGTGGTTTGGGTGGGACACACAAATGTTTTGAGGACTTCTTTTTTATTTTTATTTATTTTTGTTTTTTATTGTTTTTTGTTCAAACTGGAGTTTGAACTCAGGGCCTACACCTTGAGCCACTCCACCAGCCCTACATTTGTGATGTTTTTTTCTGTGAGGGTTTCTTGAACTATTTGCCTGGACTGGCTTCAAACTGCGATCCTCCTTGATCTCTGCCTCCTGAGTAGCTAGGATTATAGGCATGAGCCACCAGCATCTGGCTACAAAATCTTATTCCTGAAGAAAATCTCCTGGTGATGAGACAGGGTCTTGTTATGTAGCCCAGGCTGGCCTGAAGCTAATGATCCTCCCGCCTTTATCTCCCCTGTGCCGGGATTATAGATGTGTATCACCATACTTGGCTCTGAGTGAATCTTTCTTGACCTTGGAATCCTTTGAATGTACAACTGCTTGGAAGTTGTGCCTCCACATCTCCCTCTTGGCTGAGTCTACCCATCTATACTCTTTATGTGCTCTACTACAAGCCCCTGTCCACTTGCCTGCCACATCCTTACCTGCAGAAGGCCCCTATGTTCTCCACCAGGTAACACTGGCCGCCGTTGTGACAGTAACTTGGGAACAGGTCGCACACTGACCGGCAAGAGCCATTATGCCGCACAAAGCCACTGCGACACTCAGTGCCATTTTCACTTGAGGCCAGATCCCTGCCTGGTTCTCCTGGGCGGGGCCTGAGGGCTATGCTGCTGCCAGGAACCATCCCTAGAGTATGTTGTGGAGGGATAGCATGCCACTGACTGGTGGGCTGGCCTGTTCCAGGCCCCATACCAGGCTTCTTAGAGGGCAGAAGAAGGTCATTTTCATCTTCCAGGTCTCCACCTCCCACTGCATCCTTGTCATCATCATCTTCCTCCTCCTCTTCCTCCAAGTCATCATAGAAAGATGTGGTAGGGTAAAAATCAGATTCATCAAAGGGGGTGAAGTCATCATATAAGTCAAGGAGGCTCCAGGAAGGGGTCTCTCCCTCAGTATCAGGGTGGTTCTCTGAGGTTCCAGGTGATCCTGGGAAGTTCCCCAGGTCTGCACCATGACCCTCACCATCTAGTCCTTCAAAGTAGTCGATGTCGATTATATCTGAGGCCAGCTGGGGCTCTAGTGTGCCTTTAAGGGGGTAAGTGGGCTCTGGCTCTTGAGGGTCAGGTGTGCTGCCTCCCAGGTTCAGCCAAACCTCCAAGGGGCTTTCCTTGGGGAGTTCAGAGCCTGAGTTCAGCTTGTCATCAATAATAGGGGAGGGTGGTCCGCTGGCTTCAGTAGCCTCAGGAGTGGCAGGTGGCATTGTAGACTGCCCTAGGGCATCATCAGGAGCCTGAAGTGTAGCGGGAAGGGCCTGGGCATCACCACTGCCGGCCTCTGCGGTCACTCCACCCAGACCTGGGCTGTCTGCCTCTAGCCAGGCGCTGCCCGTCACTGCAGCAGATGCCTCCAGTACCTCCTCTGGCCCGACCCCATGACCCACAGCGGTCACCTCGCTGCCAGTAGCTGTCCACGAGGTCTCATCTTCCCCAGTCACTGGCAGGCCAGCCTCCTCCCGCGTGTAGTTGGCACGAGGCTCCCATGCCAGGCCGCTCTTCAGCTCCTCGGCCTCAATCGCGCTGCCCGACTCGCGCGCTGTGGGCGGAAGGGCAAGGGCGGGGCGTCAAGGTGGCGCAGGGCTGGGGTGTGTGTGTGTGATCCCAACCCGCCCAGCTATGGCTCGCTCCCTTAGACGAGGATCCCCTCTAGGATGTTGCTTCAGTGTTTCTCAGGGCCACGCCCCACTCTTTAAGTCCCGCCCCCAAGCCCGCCTCCCAAGCCAGGGGAATGCACCCTGCTCAAGGTTTCCCGTTCCCGCCCACCACCGACTTGCACCCACAGTCTGAGAGGCTAGGCCAGGGCTGCCTCTAACTCGCTCCCATCCTGAACTCTTACCCTCAGGGCTCCGCCCCATTTCAAGGCCCCGCCCCAAAGTCTCACTGTAGGGCCCCGCCCCCGTGGAAGGCCCCGCCCCCACCCCAGGACATTTCATCCCCCACCCCAGCCCGCCCGGTGTTGGCGCGCCGGAGTCCGGGCTGCCCTCCACCAGTCTGCCCACCCCACCCAGGAGCCCCCCTTCTCTCGCGCCCCTTCCCCCACCCGGGTCCCGGGTGGCGGGCCAGGCGGTGCCCCGCCCCCTTGCCACAGCTCGTGGACTCCACCTGTACCTGAAGCCAGAGGGACCCCGGCCCGAGGAGGTGGTGCGAGGGTTACTGGGGTCCCGGTCTCAGTCGGTACCTACCCGGAACGGCCCCGGCAGTCAGGATCAGCGTGGTCCCCAGAAGCAGAAGCAGTGGCGGCGGCCCCCGGCCCGGGCCCCCGCCCCCGGCACGGCCCATGGTGCGGTGCCCCGGCCGCTGTCTGCGGTCCGCCCGGCTGGCTGCACCCTCGGCTTGCTCGGCCGCCGCGCCTCCCGCCTGTGCTGCGGCCGCCTTAGCCCACCGTGGGCAGCGCGAGCAGCCGCATGCCGCCGCCGCCGCCGTCCGCCGCTGTCCCCCGCGCGCGGCGCCTCCCCGCCTCCCGCGCCGCCGCTGCTGCCGCGGCGCTCAGCGCCGCCCCCACCCCGCCCGCCCCGCCGCACGTAGCGCTGACGCCGGCCCCTCTCAGGCCGCCTGCCTGGGGTGCAGACAGACCCCTCGCTCGGGACGCGGAGACAAACGGACGTGGAGCGCGCGGGGGCAGGCGCAGAGCGCCGCGCGCTGCGATAGTAGACAGGTGCACAGGCGGGAGTCCCACGGGGCGGGGCTGCGATCCTGCCCTCCCGGTCAAGAGCTCATCTGGGCCGGGGACCCCGGAGGAACCCACCCGCCACGCAAGGAGCACGGAGGCGGGGACGTTGCGGGCTCAGACACCCGCAGGCTCGGGGCGAGGCCCGGAAGGGCTGCAGGGTGCGAAAGCCTGAACCCCCAAAGTGGAAACGACCATGCCTCCGGGGCGCACAGAGACACCCGGGTTTCTGTGCCAACCCGGTGTTCCGGGAAGGGAAGGTTCCCAGGGAGGTCTCCAGGTCTCCACGAGGTTGGGCGTATGTTGGCATAGCCTGGCAAGGGGGCGAATACGACGGCTCAGGCTCTAATCGGATCAGACCTAATCCGTCTGCAGCCAAAGCCACTAGCTCAGATCTCTCACAGCCAGGTCCGACGAACGCATCATGCAGCACGGGGCAATGAGTAAGACCCTTCCTAGGCTTCACCTTCCAAGCCTTCTTGGGATAGCATGGGGAGCGACCTTTAATTGGGATCCCTTTCTACCTTCCCGGGATGCATCGTTCCCCGGGTGTCCTGGGCCACAAAAGCTCAAGTTCCTGGGTAAACCAAGATCACTGCCCAGGCACACGCAGATGAAGGGCCAGACATTAATCTGGGTGTGTGTGGGGGAACCCGTTCACTCCGGAAGCCCTTTAGTGGGGAGGCAGAGCTGCATGCAGGCTAGTCACCTTTATTTCCCCCAAAACCGACAGTCTGCTTCTTTATGTGTTATTGACTCAAGGACATGGTGCTGAGAGATGCTCTCATTTGTGATAGACGAAATAGGTGACCAAGATGGACATTCCATCTCCTAATCTCTTATGTGTCTCCTGGTGGGGCTGCCTTGGTTCAAAGATTCAGTATGCCAGAACAGCTGCAGGCTACTTGCCCAGCCTAGTGTTCCCTCTCCTCCAGACAAGGCAAACTTCCCAGGGTAGAAAAGCTCATTTTCGATCACCCTACCTCGGCGAGGCCAGCTCACCAGGTCCGGACTGTTAAGACACTTCCTGATCAGTGTTAGGCAAGGAGGTAGGCTTTGTAGAAGGCATCAGTAAAGGAATGCCAGCTATTCACACCTGCCCTAGAACCTGAGTCTGGATCTTTTGGCAAAAGGAGTTTTCTGTGGCTCTTTCCATGGTGTCAAACTGTATTCAGGGACAGTGAAATACCAGTGTGAAATACATGCTGGTCTAAACAGAGAGCCAGGTAGGGTTTTGGCCTTATCTTTAACCCTGTTTCCCTTGTCTACACTTTACCTGTGTCACCTTGTAGTATATATAGTCTCTCTGCTTTTGTCTCCTGCATTCTTGGGTGGTGGTTGTCCAAAGTGGATGTTGGTGGATGGGCCTACCTCCTCTCCTTCCTACAGTCTGTATAAGGTATCAGGGATAGATCCCTCCATGTCCGAGACATGGTGTGAAGAGCGGGCCTTCTCCCACTCACGTTAAAATTCTATCTTCTCTACCTTGTGTTTCCCATCTTTAATGTATTTTGTTAACTATTCTTTTAAATTCAATTTTCATTCAGTAAAACAAACATATGGCACAAAATATTGAAATCTCCTTCATCCATCTTCCTTCCTTCTCTGGAGACAAATTCTGTTACCACTTTCTTCAGTTGGGTTTTTTTTTGGGGCGGGTAGGGGTATTGAGGATTGAACTCATGGCCTTGAGCATTGGAGAAAGTGCTGTGCCAACGAGCTACACTTCCAGCTTCAATTTGGGATTTCAAGTCAACCGTTGCCATTCTGTTTCATTCTAATCCTCCCAGGAGATATCAACAGCAGTTCCAGGATTGTTGGCTGGGTGACACCCACAAAATGGAGGAATAAGCTCATTTATGCGGTGTGTGATGGGAAGAATTTGGAGATCAGTCTCCTTAGTCTCATATATGAAAATGTTTGGCAACCACAGTGTCAAGTGAAGGTTTTATATATATATATATAATTTTATTTTTTCTTGGCAGAAGGGCTTGGGGAGGCTAAAGAGACAAAGGATGCAGGGAATGGAGAATGAGAGACTGATCATTCTCTATAGCTTACACCCATATCCCTTCCTCCATTTACAGTACACACATGTGGGCATCAGTGATGTGTTCAGCAATGGTTTCTTCATGTGTTTCCTACTGGGTTTGGCAACTTACCTCCAGAGCGAAGGCAGGCACAAGGACCATTGCTATGGCTGCTGCCTGCATCCCTGCGGATGGAAAGGCACTGTCTTCACCAGGAAGCTCCTGTGCAGAGCAGAAGCTGCTCCAATTGCCACAGAGGCAAACCAGTTTGCATAGTCTGGACAGGAAATCATTTTCTGGCTTGTAGGTCTTCAGTTTTAACCACTCACGCATTGAGATTTTCACTTATTTCCTAATGTTTGAATTTGTCTTATTTTTCAACTATGCAACAAATGTCTTATCGGTTCGATCTATAAACTAACAGATAGCAATATTGCCCACAATCATGCTAAAGAAGTGGTAAGGCTCAGACATGAAGATCCTGATTTCAAACCCTTTACCCTTTTTTTTTGTGGTGGGATTGGGGTTTGAAGTCAGGGCTTTGCACTTGCTAAATAGGCGCTCTACCACTTGAGCCACACCCTCTAGTCCATTTTTGCTTTGGTTAGTTTTGGAGATGAGGTCTTGTAACTAATTGCCCAGGCTGGACTTGGAACTGCAATTCTCCCAATTTCAGCCTCTGAAGTAACTAGCATTATAGGCATGAGTCACCAACATCTGGCAATATTGTTTCTTAATCTCACAAGGGGAATCAGGATGCAGAGGTAGGGCATCAATAGAAGCTCCATTCCCACCTCCCTGACATCTCCCTCCTTTTACTTGGGCATTGAGAGTTAATGCTATGATTTCTTTAACAGGAACAAGACCAGATTCAAGGTCCTAAGGACAATCAGCTCTGTGACCACTTCTGGCTACAAGCTGCTGGCAATAGGCCTACTTATACCATTCCCAGGAAGAAGGCAAGGGCTAGGTGGTCTGAAGCCTGAGTTCTTTGTGCTGACTAGTCTCCTCATTGCAGGCAACTCTGGGTTTTTGAACAAGGGCTATCATATCAGAAAAGGATTATCCCAACCTGGGGTGGTCATCTTGTCCAGGCAGTGGGTTTGCCATCAGATTAGAAAAGCCTCTTGAATTTCTACCCCTAATTCCAATGTCAACCCAACTGGGAGAAAGCTTCCTAGACAAACCAACACTGACAGCCACAACTAGACTGTTTACAGAGGACAGTCACTGCCTCAGTAAGGGGACCTAAAAGCATCTCAGGGATCCTGTAGCTACTGCAGAATAAGCTCACTGGAGTAAGGGATCAATCTTGATGGCCATGGGAAACCTGTCAGTGTCAAGGACAATCCACAGAAAACAAAGGGACTATTACCATCCCTGACTGCTTTTTAACTCCTTCTACAAGACCAGCTGGTAGCAAGGGCATGTAGATGGTAGGTTGCCAGAGTGGGAGGCCTTTTTCCTTTGTCATTGTCAGTTAGTGGTAGTCACTGCACTGTATTAAGGCATGGCTATTCTGCTAAGGTCTGCAAAAATTATACCTTCAGGGCAGGTTCTAGTTATTTCCCTGGAAGCATAAGGCTGCTGCCAGAATCACTCACCTGGCTGTTCTCCATGGAGTTGGAAGGGCATGGAAAGGCCTCGAGTAACAGTGCTAGTAATGATAGCTCAAATTCTGTAAGGCAGATCAGGAGGAGGAGGGACCAGAAAAGGACCTCTTAACCCTTGGGATCCCTGTAAGAATCAGAATAGGGCAGGTTGGTACCAGAGAGTTTGCTATAATTGGTTCTGGAGCCTCTGGGTTGACTCATTGAATTTTCTCCCTTTAGCAATCCTTTATGTGTGTCAGTCTTTCCTCAATGCTGTCCCAAGTTTAAGATAAAAATAATAACCAGAGTGAAAATGAGCCTCAGGGAATAAAGTTGAATATGGGATGTTCATAAGGAAATCCAACATTGAGAGTCCTGGGCTTGAAAGAGGGCAGCACTTCCTCCACTAGCATACATTTGCCTCCCATTCTGAATGATGACCTCTTTAGGTGGCGGTAATCTGCCAGGTGCTGGTGGTTCACACCTGTAATCCTAGTTACCCAGGAGGCAGAGATCGGGAGTATTGTGGTTTGAAGCCAGCCTGGGCAAATAGTTCCGGAGAGCCTATATTGAAAAAACCCTTCACAAAAAAGGTCTGGTGGAGTGGCTCAACATGTAGGCTCTGAGTTCAAGCCCCAGCACTTAAGAAAAACAAAAAAGGGGAATAATCCATTGATAGTAATCAAGGTACTTCAAGAGTTTCTAGGAAGAAACCTCTTCAATGTGAGCAATAGAACACACTCCTGGAACAACAGAAAGCAGGGGTTTTATGATAACCAGAGGCAGAGTTCTCATGAGCTAGAATTGTGTAACCAGATGGAAGGATGCCCTGGTTATTCACATGGAGGAGTCCTTGGAATGAATGGTCAACCAGTCAGGATACCATACCACCATGACAAAAATTATGATTATGGGAGATCACCCACCGGGTTGTCTCCAGGAAGCACCTAAACACCTATTTTTTTTTCCTTAATTTTTGAGACACAATCTCACAACGTGGTTCATGTTGGCTTAGAATTCACAATCCCACTTCAGCCACTCAGCCTATCACATGGCTATATGCTACCATAACTGGCCTCAAGAAACTTGATTACATTGTTTCACTTCATGAAGATCTTGCATTATTTGAAATGTTAATATTTATTATTAAGTATGTATGGCTTGGTATCTTCTACCCCGCTGGAACATAAGTGGCCTGTGACTTCACTGTAGGCAAAGTTCAATGCCTGGCACATAACAGGATCTCAAATGTTGTTTAGATGTAAGGTCTCACAGTGGGACCTATAGAGAACTTGCTGTACTACACACCCTACTTAACCAGCTGCGTCAGTATCCTCTGGGAATTTGTTAAAAATGCAAGACAATGGAACTCACTTCAGACCCACTAAGTCAGCAGCTGAGAACAGAACCCAGCAGCTTGTATGTTACTGGTGATCCTACTCTACAGTTTGAAAATTACTATTGTTAATTAACTTTGGGGAATTACCCCACACTAAAGATCTGAGCAGCCTATGGAAGACTGGTTGAGTGCATATGTTGTTATGCTCTAAAAATAACTCATACTCAAGTTTATAAACTGGTCTTTAATAAGTGTGGCTTAAGGATTAACTTCCTTGACCCTCTAGAAAGTACACGAACTACGTAAGAACCAGTTTTAGTTCTTTACTAGAGGCACCCTTTTGTGAGGAGCTGGGTGTTCATTTCATGGCAGAGAATCCTCTTCTTTTGCTTCACTGGATTCACAATCATCTTCAAAAATAAAAAGGTTTCTTTCTGCATAGGGCTTGCACCTATGGATGCTCAAAATCTGTCCTTGGAGTATGTTAAATTCACAGAACCTTCTGCCCTCAAGGAGTGCTTCCATCTTGGGGGTGTCTAAACTGCATCTTGATAAAAATTCTCCAGCTCATTAAGCAAGACTACTGCTCCCGTTAGAGACACCAGGTGGTGGATACTCTTTCTGGAGAACTTCCATTCATCTTTCTTCACTTTGACCAAGTAAGTAACAGTGGGTGAGACACACTCAGCTGCATTTTCCTGAAGCATGACAAAGGTCGGTGAGGTGGTCTGAGTCATGGATGAAGGTGACCAGGTGGGGCAGAACATCTAGGTTCTTTATGTGATATAAAATGAAATTGTGTATGAATGCAGAGAATGGAACTGGAATCCAGAAATGGTATTTCATTTATTCAACAAAACAGAGGGAGATTAAGCCACTTTCATCCATCTTCTCCAATCTCTCAAAACTCTCTCCCCTCATTTTTTTCAAAATAACACACAGAGAAATGTGTTTGTACAAAAACCACGTATTATTCCCCACCTCCCCACCCCCACAAAATTGTGTGGTTGTATTACAGGAATGAAACCAGATTAAAGACATGAAAAGAAAAAGTCATTACTTATGCTAAAACATAACAATGTTGAATTCAGGTATTGTGTAGATTACCAGCATTGTAAAAATATTCCCACCTGGATCTCTTAAATTTGAAAGTGATCAGATTAAAGACCTGAGGTTACAAGGGACCACAGTATGAACCAGAATTCCATTCTCCTTCTAGGACTCCAGGGGAAAAGGTGAGCATTTGGAGTGAGTTTGCTTTGGGAGAGGCTGGAGGGAAGTAGGGAAAACCCTGGCCATTGTCAAAAGGCACTGGGGTCTTTTTGAGGCAAATGCATCAGAAGTAAACTCCAGTAGGAAAAAAAGCTCATTTCCATTTCTACCCCAAGAGTCCAGAACACACAAAAGAAACAAGGTGTCCTTGGTTCCAGTATTCTAGTATTCTGTAAGTGATCAGGGCCACCAGGTTAGAGGCCAACCTGAGGGTTTGAAAGGCAAATTAATTGTGGTTTTATTTTTAGCTTTCTGATATTAAGGGAAAAAGTTCCCTAACACCCTCTTATATGTAAAGCTTTAGAAAACATAGAAAAAGATACCCAAAAGATGTCCTACCTCGCATTCTAAATAATGAAACTGCCACTGAGAATGGGAAGTGAAGAAGCCAGGCGCTTTGGAAACCAAGCTCTGCCCCAAACACCTTTTCACTACTCATGGAAGGATGGGAGGGAGGAAAGAAAGATGGAGGGATGGGAGGGAGGAAAGAAAGACAAGACAAAACCAAGAACTCTCAAATCACTCATTGGCAGGGATAGATATGGGCTCAAATTAAGGCATTTTTGTGGCTCTTCCTCTGGAGTGGCATCACACCCTCTTAGCCTGAGCACCCCAAATGCTAACGCATGCTGCTCTGGAGCCACGTGAGGTCGTTGGTACCCTCAGCATGTCCTGGACAACCCTGTGACAGATGGAATGTGAGATCTCAGAAAGGGAAGGGAGAAGGTATGAAAGGCTGATGACCCTGCCCGCTTTTCCAATCCCATCCTGAACCCAAAGTACCGATTCTAGAAACTCCATTCACCCTGGCTGCTGCAAGAGGTAGTTTAGGGACTTACACCCCCAGCCATCCTAACCAAGTTCCATGAGCTAAAATGTTTAGCATTATCTACTTACTTTTTTTTTTTAAGGGTTTTTTCCTTTTCCTTTTTTTTTTTTAAAGAGGGAGGGGGGAAAAAGCATCCATACAAAGCAAGTAAACAGTAGGCTAGATTCATGGGGGGAGGGCCCGCTGCCCTAGACCCCTTTAACTTTCCTGGCCAGTAGGGAACTAAGGAATGCTTCCCCAAATTCCAACCCTCAAAGCTCACACTGCCCTCAGAAAAACAAAACACCAACTTCCAATCCAGCAAATCATCTACACAGAAAACCAAAACCAGTGGACCTGGGGAAGAAGTGGATTTGTTCTAATGTTTGTGCTATCCTCTACCACGTTAGAGTTACTAGTTAAAGTGGTATGTTTTGCCAGGCAGGATGGAGGCCTCCACAATCCTCACCAGGGAATAAAATCAATGGGGGCACCCCCTCCTTCCCCTCTATTAATTTTGGTGCATTTATGCATGACAAGTCTTAGGAAACTTCACCAGCAGCACCATTCTTAGCTCAGATAAGCAGAATAAGGTCACTTATAATGCCTTAAGGTGTGTCCCCTGTGGCTATCTCTTTCTGCCTATCACTATTTCTTTTGGTTCCTGTTAACTTAGGATGCTCTTCTTTGAAATCGTCATAACAACAGGGAAAAAGAAAGTAATTATACAGGATTATCCATAGAGGCATAAGACAAAGCAAAAAACTTCAGGAGAGAAAAAGTGATAAAGACATGGAACACCAATGTTGACAGTACCTGAAGATAAACTGCCAACACCTGCCACACCAGGAAAGGGGAGATGGAGGTTATTTTTAGGATGGCTAGAGCACACTGTCACCACAAGCTCCCCCCACTGAGTGTCAGCTGAGGATCTAACACAAAAGATGTCAGAGCATGGAGAGGGTGGCAAGAGGAGTCGGGAGACTTAGGACACATGCTTGGGATGTGAGAAGAAAAGTCCTGAAAGAAACCCAAGAAATCTGAGACACACAAGTCCTGTCATCCCCACTCCAGCTTGTGGTGGGCGTGGAGGCTCCCTGCATCTTTCAGGCTAAGGAGTGGCCGAAGCTGGTGGGCCTGGAGCAGGAGGCGGTGGGACCCCATCTGCAGGTGGCGGTGGTGGCTGCTGCTGAGGTGGAGGAGGATCTGCAAATACATCCAAGGTACTCGTCATTGCTGGAAACACAGAGGCTTTGCAAAGAGGCCATTCAGTGAAAAAGAACAGAGGAAGTTAATTTGTGTAGGCAAGCAACGTGGCCTATCAGACACTGCTGCCGGTGAGGTGTATGTGGTTTAATCCACACCCATCATCCAGTCGCTGCTCATGTTCTTAGCTTAACCCAAGAAGCGCAGATTGGGAGATTCCTAAACTCCTCTAAGGCCCACTCCTTCCAAGAATTACTCCAGACCCTTTGAAACCTACTTGTATTTTGATTTTATTGTATTCTAATGGTTCTCCTTACTAATTTTATTTCTTCAATTTTATAATAAGCTACTTCCTGGGCAAGTTCTGTGTCTTTTATTTTTCTTTCTTCCACAGTGTGTAGTCTAGCTAGGCACAAAATAGACTATCAGTAACTTTTTGCTTATTAACTGTTTCTACAAGGGCCAGAGAACTTCACTGAGGCAGCTGCTGCCAAGCTGAAAGTCTTGAGAGGTCCTCACAGCTCCTGAACTGCAGTCCTTGGATTTTTGGCAAAACTAGGTCAGGTCCTGAAGGGAACAATTAGTAAGAGTGTGTGGAGTTCTTTCCTATTTCAACTTTAGCTGCTTTAGTGTACAAAGGAACCCTAGAGATTATTTTATCCAGGGATTTAAAAGCCTCAAGATCTTGAAAGAGATGAAAACATATGAAACAAACAATTAAAGTAAAGCTGTGCTCATGAGTCAATTCACCCAACCAAGAGGTTTTTATCAAACCTAAAGCCCAGTGATTTAAATCCCTTGTGTTATCTTTCAGTGGAGGAAACCAAGGTGTGACGAGGGGAAGCAATTTGTGAGCATGGCCTTCCCAGTACCTGAGTGTCATGGTAGCAGTTCAGAATTCCAAAAGCCTCCTTGATGACAGAGTACCATTTAGGATGGAATCCTAAAGTCACAAACTGCGAGAGACCAGCTAGATATAACAGTGACATGATCTCTGCACTAGAGATGGCAAAATGGTGAATTCCCTTGGAAGGCCAGTTTCTTTGCCTGGAAGGTGGCTTGCCAAGCATTTTCTTGACAAGGAAAAGAGGTACCCACTGTACCATAATCTCTCACCACTGGCTTGAGGGATATCATTTTTTTCCCTACAGGCATGATGCTATATACTCAGCTAAACCATGCCTTTCTTCCACGCATCTACAGTGTCCGAGCTCCTGGGAATCCAGTGGGGAATGTCCACAAAGCCTCTCTTACTGCCCTGGCAGTCTCCCAGAGAACTACAGCGCATTCAAGGCACTTTGTAGTCTCCTATACCTTTTAGTAAATGTCACCCAACTTTTCATATGTTTTCCCGGGCTAGAGGTATGGCTCAAGTAATAGAACCTCTGCCTTGCAGGCATGAAATCTTGAATTCAAACTCCAGTACTGCATTAGTGTGTGTTAGGGGGCTGTTTTCCCAACAAAAGCTCTTGCAGGCTAGGGAATCTTATTTCTTATTCTTTTTGACTTGACTGGAAGCTAAGTTCTTGCTACATATGTGAATTTCTAAATAAACAGACATGGCTATGGTTCTGGTCAATACTACTGGATACACTGCAGGATCCTTCTCACTGAGCTGGTCTACAGATGTAAAGGGCAGACCAGAGCCCCTGAAGCAACACTGTTAAGGCCAGGGCTGGGGCAGAGTTAGGGCTTACTGGAGAAATGACCTGGCCTCTGCACACAGTGTCAGACAGATTCTGCTGAGCAGCACCAGTGTTGCATCCACTAAGTTGGTCTTGGGGACTTCCCAGTATTCCTTTCTAAACACAGCCCCTGAATACTCCCCACCTTAGTCTATAAAGTTGCTACCAATATGCCAAGAATATCTACAAGAAATACAGTTGTTATTTTTGCTCTAAAGTGGCTTCTATTTTTTTTTTTTTTGTTCTTAATTTTTACTGTAGTGCCGGGGTTTGAACCCGGTCTTTGATTGAGCCAAGCTCCCAGCCTTACTATTTTTTTTCTTTATACTCATCACTTTGAACCTTGTATGCATAAAGGCTCCTGTAGAGAAAATAAGCCGTGTCTATGCATATCTGCTGATTTAAATGAGACAGATTTAAACAGAAGTGGGACAGGAATGCCTTACCGGCCTCCCCCAAGTCCTCAGTGCTGAGGTGCAGCTTGACTATATGGAAGGATTTCACACTTGTCAAGGGTGCTGAAAAGCAGAGACCAAAAACTGATCCTCTGGAACCCATTGTAACATACTGTACTGTCCACAGACCTGCCATACGGCACCCCCGGCCATTCAACGGGGGTAATGTGTCTTTCCACTATGCTACTTACACATGCCATTTGGTGCTGCAAGGGGTACCCGGGGTCCTAAGATGTTTCCGGGCATTGGAGGCATACCAGGAGGGGCAGGGCCACTTCCAGTGGGATGAACATTGGCTGTGATGGTGGGAATCATGCGGCCTGGCATGGGCTGCCCCGGCATCATGGAACCTGGACCTGGTATCTGGCCTGTGGAGGGAGATTTAAATATACAAGGAATGAGCAGAAGAAAGGGATCAACTCATTGTCCATGACTATTAAATATAGACAATACTCAGCCTTCCAAAGAATTTCAAATACCATCAGAGCAATGGTCTGTAGTCACCTCTATGGCCAGCTTTTTATCTGTTCATTCATTTATTTGTGGGGCATCTAATAAGGGAGATCAGTGGACTCACTGGCTATTCTAAAACCTGATGGGCAGGTAGTTGTTAAGAAGCAAATTATAAAAAAAAGTATCCCTAAAAGAAAATATTCATTCTGGTTAGTTTGAGTGACCAGGGGATCGTCAAATGTCATACTGAGGACACACAAAACCAAACACACACCACAGGGAATGGAGAGAAGGAATTTAACAGGAAGTTGGTGTACAGTTTAAGGACCACAGCTCAGTCCATCCAGATTGTCCTTTGTATACAGGGTTTGAGAGGAGAGGTGTGGGTGAAAGGGTATAGAAATCATCATTAAAAAAGGAGTCTGATTTGAATTCTAAAGTTCTATTCACATAAAAAAATATCTTCCCGTGGCAAACATCATGAAGCACTGGAATGCAAGAATCATGGGGTGGGGGTGTGTGTGTGTGGGTATGTGAAAGACAGACATCATCAGTGTTTTCAAATTTACAACACGAGGCCCTAGAGACAAGCACAAAATACCTCTTGCATTCAATATCTTACTGAACCTTTAGAACTTTCAGAAAACCTTTCCTTTTCTTTTCTCTTTGGTGGTACTGGAGTTTGAACGCAGAGCCTCATACCTGCTAGGCAGGTGCTCTACCATTTGAGCCACTCTGCTATCCCTGTTTTAAGTTGAGTTTTTGGAGATTGGGGTCTTATGAACTATTTGTCGGGCTGGCTTTGAGTTATGATCCTCTTGAGTAGTTAGGATTGCAGGTGTGAGCAAACTTTTTCTTTAAAGATTCTAACTGTAAATATTTTAGACTCTGTCAGCCATACAGTCTCTGTCACAACTATTTAACTCTGCCACTGTAATATGAAGACAGTTACAATGTAAGCAAGAGGTCTACTTTTGAACTCAGAAGTACACTGTTTTGGAGACAAAAGACAGTTAGTGGTCTTCTTGCAATTAAAGGGAAGATAAGAATTAGAAGAAGTAAACAACAAATGTCTGCCAAGGCTATGCTGCTTCCTATCACCAAGTTCAGCTTGGACAGTTTTACGCAAGTGAGGAAGAATATTATGCCAGCTTTTCACAGGTTTCTGTTTCTTGAAATCTGACAGGAGAGCTATGAAGCATACCTTTAAAAGAAGCCAGAGCCAGTATCGGGTAAGGGATAAAGAAATAAAGAAGAATATTCTAGGTGTGTGGATAAATAAGTGACGTGATATACAACTGTTCAGCTCCAATCACTTCCCACAGGACAGAATTTTTATACTCTGGTGTCTAGGATAAAGTGTGGATTGCTGAATCCCTGACTAACTAACTAATGGACCCCCTACCAGTGAATAGTTAGGCAGACCACTTTCAACAGGGAACTACTGATGAATTAAGGTAGAAACTAAACAGCCTCAATCCCACTTCTGCTTTACTCTACCCTCAATGTGTGTTTGTGGGTAAGTTATTCAGGATGTCCTGAGCTTACACTGAGACAAGCTCAACAGCCGCCCTGAACTACAGGGTGTACAGTGCGATCAGGGGAACTGTTTGACTTTATATAGTACCTTATCATGTCACTGGCTCCTCTAATACACTGGTAAGAGGCAGAGCAAATATTTTCATTTTATACAGAGTAAAAAGAAGTTTGGAATAGTCCCAAAACTTCTTTATAGTCACAGAACTAGGAAGGGGAAATCATAAAGTAGATCTAAATCTTCTAATCCTTAAGTCCAGTTCTCTTCCCACTATATTCCTCTGTGCTCAAATGAAATAGTTCATGAGAAAGGTATTAATGTAATCCTAACATTAAAAAAAAACCAAAAAAACAAAAAACCCCCAAAGGTATGCACATCTATTGCAGGTATTATGTTTTTTCCTTTACTATATCATAGTTTTAAGATTGCTACTTCCTGCAATAATTCATTTTTAAAATAAAAAACCCATACATTTAGCAACTTATACAACTTAATAGTTGAGCATCCCTAACCTAAAAATCTGAAATTCAAAAATTTCAAACTCCAAACAATGCCATAATTTGAAACACTTCTGATCTCAAATATTTTGGATAAGGGGTATTGAACCTGTAGCACGTGGGATGGTGGCCCCCAACTAGGTACATGCCATGCATGACCAGAAGCTGCAAGGACAAGGAACACATCATCCCCTAGATTCCTAGTAAGTAAAATGGCCTGACTGGGCATCAGATTTCTAAGTCCCCAGAAGAATAAGAATAAATTTCTATTGTTTTAAGTCACCAAATATGTGCTAATTTATTATGCCAGTCTTAGGATAACTATGTGAAGAAACACCTATTTTGTTGTGGGCATTTTACTTAAGTGCTTTATAGCTGGGTGCCAGTGGCTCACGTCTGTAATCCTAGGTACTCAAAAGGCAGAGATCAAGAGGATCATGGTTCAAAGCCAGCCCAGGCAAATAGTTTTTGAGACCCTATCTTGAAAAAACCCATCACAAAAAAAGGCTAGTGGAGTGGCTCAAGGAGTAGGGCCTGAGTTTAAACCCCAGTACCACCAAAAAAAAAAAAAAAGTGAACTCTTTTGACCCTACAGGAGAACGAGAAAGACATAAAGATCAGAAGATCAGTCTCACCCAACATCATAAAGCATGGAAATGCGGATGCTTGGATCGGATCTGGGCACTTGGGCTCCAGAGATGGTACTTATAAACATAGTATAATCCTATGAATAAAATTCCAGCACTCTTCCAAGAGGTGCTCAGAGACTAAGTGATACAAATCTTGCTGTCACCAAACTAATCGATCAAATATTTGCTCCATGCTGAGCTCCTCACAAAAATAATTATCTGAAGCAATAGATCAGAGTGTGTGTTCCAGCAGAGAAAAGAGCTATTCAAGCAACAATCTGGCAGACAGAAGTATCTCTGGCAGATCAACACGACACAGACCCAAGAGCTGATGCCTATCCATCATGCACTGGGGATATAACTACAGGCTCTTGCTCTTAGGCCAACCAGTGCTATTTCCAAATCTATCTGCTCACTGCTGGTGGCCCATTTGCCTATTTCCCTACATTTTATGGTGATAAGATGGGATAGTTTCTTAAGTCTGTAAGACCAACAGCTCAGAAAGACAAAGAAAAAAAAATCATTTCCTTTTGCTTACTGTAAAATTTGAAGCCTTTCCCCAAAATTTCTCTATCCTACTGTCACAGACAGGGGCTGTGCATTAAAGGTATGAGAGGACAATGGCTCCTTGGAAGAGGTGGTAGCAAAAGGGAGAGACGAAGAAACAATTAGTTTTGCCTCTGGACCACGCACAGACACATCTCTCAGGCAAGCCAGGAGTACTGTAAGAGCAAGTGATGTTCCTGTGTTGCCCAGAGGTTACTGGTGTCACATGTACACAACTCACAGAACTAAGCAGTGGGCCAGTGGATTTACAGAACAGACAACAAAGATGAGAATACTGCTGAGTGAGGGTCCACCATTCACCAGGAAACATGACAATTATCTTACTGATAGTAAAGGCCAGAGTTAAGATAAGAAAAGCAAGCCTCACAAGGGCTATATAATTTGGCCTAAAGTTACAGTAAGTAAGAGAATGAAAGGTGGGTGAGGAGACACATGCCTGTAATTCCAGTACTAAGGAGGTTAAGGCAGGAGTGTTAAGAGTTTGAAGACAGCCTAGTGAAGCTGTCTTAAAAAAAAAAAAAAAAAGGCACTGGTGGCCAGGCAAATAATTTGTGAGATCCTATCTCAAAAAGACCAATCTCAAAAAAGGGCTGGTGGAGTGGCTCAAGGTATAGGCCCTGAGTTCAAACTCCAGCACCACAAACAAACAAACAAACAAACAAAAAACACCAAAAAAGAGAGGAGCCGAGAGACAAACCTAGGGTTTTCTGACCCTGAGGCTTATTCTTTTTTCCTTTACTCCACTCATTTTAAAGGAGATCTTTCCTTTTGTAAAAGATGATTTCTAAGAATCAAATTAATCAAATTTGAAATATAAGAGAAATTAAGAGGACAGGAGGGAAGACAAAAATCAGTTTCTTGTAAAGTCAATCCTTGTCCATCTGAAATCTAAAGATCCTTGTGGTTTTTGTGGTGTGAGATACAGGCATCACAACTTTTATGAATGATGATGTCTGACATTCTACTAATACTTACTAGCATGAAGAAGTATGGCCCACACAAACCTGAAATGCCTAAAAGGAGACCTTATCAAACAAAGTAAAGGTTGTGTGTTTTCCATTTTTAAAAAATTCAGGTATTTCCTTTCCTGGTAGATAGGGAGAGGTGGGAGGTGAGAGAAATGTGGTTTCAAAACAGCAGTAGCAAGGCATCCAATTGTGGTAGTCTGACCTACATACAAGCATCTGAAAGCCTGCAAAATGGAAAGATTTGCTAAAATTAGGTTTAGCTAGTAGAAAAATCCCTCACATTTCCTCAGATTTATTAAATCTTTTACTAAAGCCTTACACCTATCATGTCTAATGAGATGTTAGCTGCTAGTTAAGGATTTTATTTTTATTCTTTGGGAAGAAAGAGGGAGGTGGGAAGAGAAAATGAAGCTGGGAAAAGGAACCTGTGAATATCTAGTCTTGAGCACATTTTATCTATCCATTTCTAACTGTGTACAGACACCCTCTGGCTGAGTCCCCAGGAGAACGGAAATAACACAATCAGGGCCAAGTGAGGGGAAGCCCAGACTGTTCTTCCCTACAGCAGCTTCCTGAGGGCGCCTGCTACAGACGCTCTTTGTTAAGGACTGGGCCTTCACTGTTCTCTCTTTGAGGGTAACCTGCTACTCCGGAAAGCTGCATGGCAGCCTTACTATCACGTGATGCAAGCAGGACCAGAGGTACCACAGATAACAA